CATGAGTAAATAAAATATATTAAATTAAGTTAATCTGAATCTAAAATGTTTGCCATGTAATTATTTTATTGACAATAAACTTATTACTAATTAAATATTCAACTTTTTATTATTATATAATTTATTTGATACCAATATATTATAATTATTATATACTTTAAATAATCTAATATTTATTATTTACTAAAAACTTTTTATTCTGAGCAAACGAAGTGATGAATGTCTTGGTTTTAAAATGATGAACTTTTTTTTTTAAAATCTTTTTTGTGTTTGGCGTGATCTTTAGGACATCATAAATATTTCAAAATTATTTTGCACTTAAAAATTTGGGAAATTTTTAATTTGAATAACTCAAACTTTGAAATTTAATACAGACTCATAAGTTATTTTTACAGAAACCTTAAAGTTTAAAAAATACATAGTATACCCGTTTATAATTTTTCTTATCAAAACTGAATATTTAAACCAATTATTTCAAATTGTATTGCAATTAAAAATTTTTTATTTGGGAGTTTTAAATTTTTCACCATAACGTACATGTTATTTATTAAAGACAATGATATTTTTAAAACAGATTAATTTTAAGCTATTTATACGATGAACTTTTTTACACTGTTCTACAGTGCCTACATTTACTTGAAAGTTAATAAAAACTAGTAATATTATTATAATAATTACTGTATAAGTTAAATAATATAATATGTGATTTTTTTTGAATAAAAATTAGTTCAATATAGTGTATTACTAATAGAAATTAAATAACCAATGTTGCCTTTATTCAGAATTATTATTTGTATGAAATGATTTATTATTGAATTCAAATTTATTTAACTTATCTATTACAGTTACTTCAGACCTTAGGAGAACATCTTCTGTTATTATTATTATTATTCTTTTTATTTGTTTCTAATAAAATTTAAAACACATAATAGATAACGATACAACTTAATAAAAACAAATATATCTTAAAATTCGAATAATTTTAAGTAATCTTTACAAAAATAAACTAAATATATAATAAAAAAAATAAATATGTATAGATATAAATATTAATTTTTATGTTTAATAAATCTAATATTATTAAAAATGTTAGCGATTCAAATTAGTTAAACATTTTAAAGTTTATTTATATTCGTAATAAAGCTTATTACGAATTAAAAATATAGATGCGATTTTTTTTATTTGTCATTCAAGTTACATAAGTAGGTACTTACCGAAAATATTATGACTATTTACAATCACAGCAGCTCCTCAAGGTACGTCTTTTGTTGAGATACATTGACAAGTAAATGACTTTAAAATGTTTTTTAGCAGTTAAATATCTAGTGTTTACGTTTTTGGTAGCCCAACAACGGTTCGCTTAGACCCGGACGATCAATCCAACCACAGCGTGACCACTTCTATTCATACTCATTTAAAGTTCTTTGCCCTCGTTAAAAGCTTGAAGTAAATAAATTATTATTTTTCACTAAACAGTCGTTTATTTTAAGCACACGTATAAGTGTTTGTTTTATTTTTTTAATTTTCACTCAATTATCTATAAGTTTTCTATGATAATTATGCTTGAATGAAAATTAAAACGTAGGTTGCTAAAAATAAATACTTGAGTAAAATTAATTTTCATTATTTTGCATTATAATCATAAGACTAAATAAATAATTAAGACGTACCTATGAATATTTTATAATTTATTAAGTGTAAGTACAAATCATAATTGGGACAGTAAAATGTATTTTAACATAATTACTTATTTATTGATTAATAATATTTAATTTTATATTTGGTTTATAATTTTTTTAAATCAATTTCAGTATTTTTTTTTCTTTTAGAAATTATTGGTTTTATAGTTTTATAGATACAAGTAAATGTATTTATTTATTTTTATTTTTAAGATTGTTTACTCTACAATTTCATTATTTCATTATTTTCTAAATAGTGGATATACGATATATACTCGTATATAGCTTATATAGTTATAATAAAAAATATCAAAGAGAAAATAGAATATTTAAATAATCGTTATAAATTATAATATAATGATAAAAAATATAGATTTTGAATAAATATATTTAATTTCTGAATTAAAAAATAAAATATTTAAGAAACATATCTTTATTTATCTAATTATAATTCATGATTGTAGATGCCGTTCTATTCTATACGTGTGTATAATGTATAATATGTTTTGGTTGTTGAATAGGTATACTCGCTACTAAGTAGTTAGCTATAAGAAAGCATATAGCTCGTAGTTTTGACTTCTATGTTCATAATTATTTATACCCTATATATAATCATCATTATATAATTTCACTGCCATAATGTGTTCGATAACGAGTGTTGGTATGGTATTGATTATGTCATAACAATATTTTATAATCATACATTTTTCACATATCAGTAACCATAAATTATAATATCATATTGTGTTATTATAATACTTTTCGATTATTATGGTTTAACATCAATTTTAATGTGTAATTTTTCGTGTTTAATGTTTAACTTACACGCAAAAGTAAATAAATGGGTAAATACATACATTGTGAATGAGTTAAATATGATTTGATGAATGAAAAAAAGAGTGAATACACAATACACGAATATAATAGACATGTTTATCGAACAAGTGTTAGAATAGTTAAATGATAATATTCCCGCTCGTGGTTTTTTCACAAAGATACTTTCTTTTGGTGTCAAATAGAATTGTGCAGATGTCTTAGAAAAGCTACGTTTAAGAATATAAAAATAAAAAAAAAAAAATATGCAAACAAATTGTTTATTTATTACAATTTATAGATTAAAACCAATATTGAACAGGCAGTTATTAATGCATTTAAAAACATTTATCAATTTGCGACTCACTGGGCATGGGCTATAACCCGCAAGCACAAAATATGATCAAACGCAACACAAAAGCGCCAAAATAAATATTCCATAAGCGCAAATACATTTTACAAAAATAAAGTATATTTTATAAGTTAGATATATGTTAATACTGTATATATTGTAAATTTGTAACGGTACACCGTTCCTCCACATACATCTGCCGCCCTTTAAAACACATAATGAACCATTTCTGTTACACTGTCATTTCAAAACACATAATAGATAGTGCTTTCACACTAGCCATATCTGTATCTAGTAATCTCACTAATTAATAATATTATTTTTTTAAATTAACAGTATAGTATCCAAATTCAATAAACTCATATTATAATCAAATTATATTATCTTTTAACTCATAATTCACTAAATACCGTATATTTTTTATTACTTTTTTTTATAAACTATCATCATCTCCTACGGACGACTACGAATTGGTTCCCGCAAGTTTTCATGATAATACAACCTTGTTAAATTAACTTTTCAAATTATTATGATATATTCAACCAGCAACAATTTCCTTCCCATTTATTCAGACTTAGGACTGTCTAGAATTCAAATAAGTTCGAATAGTTCAAACACTATTTTAACTGGCACCCGTTCAAAAATATTCATTTTAAAATGCATATTTTGTATATTTAAGTGCATATCAGGTGATTTTTTAGAGCTACAAGTTCTCTGCCCTACTGATAAGTAATTTTATTCGGGAACCAATTCGAACAGTTGTATACTAGACAGTATTTTTTTCGGGAACCAATTCGTACACATTTAATTGATCCGGGAACCAACTTCACATTTGCCTCTCCTACACTGATTGTTACCGCCTTATCTTAGGGCGGTGGTAAACTCTCCCGATTTTTAAAAATAGTAAACTCTCCCGATGGTAAACTCTCCCGGGTCAAAATTATGTTTATCTGAAATAAATGTGTAAACTCTCCCGGGTCAACTTTATAGTTACCTGTAGGAAGTATATAAGCTCTCCCGAGTTGTTTTAAATGTTATTGCTATTATATACCATTCGCATTTAAATTCATATTTCTCAAGTACTCATCCATCTTTATTTATATTCATTAATGCTCTAACGGATTTTCAAATTGAAATATACGTTAAAATTCAAAGTTGCAATAAATTAAATAAATCGAGTAAAAATATTTATACAAAAAATAAAGAAAAAAATATTAAGTTATAAAGAGAAAAAAATAGATTTCCTAACTTTTTAAAAATCTGTATGTTCTTATTATCAAAAACAATGATTTTAACATTTTTACGTATATTTTGTATTTGTAACTTATATTATTATTATTGACTATTTTTAAAAGAAACTTAAATGTATATTGGATTTTTTGAAATTTTATTTTTTATTGTATTTTGACTATAATATCATGTTCATAGCAGCTAAAGACATTAATTTATATTGTTATTACAGTGGTCGCCGCTTATTGGACTCACGGTTAATTGACTCATTCGCCTATTAGACTCAAAATGGTTGGTCCCGATTCTCACATATACTAACACACAGTAAAAAATTCGTCTATTCGACTCACACACCGGTTAATAGGGTCATTTGAAAATTAGATAAATAAAGAAAATATGTACATACATTGAACAAACGTGTTATAAATAAGTCGGTACCTTTTATCGCGGAGATAAAATAAATTACTTTTTCACGATAAACCAAGCAGTCGTCAATGTCAATTAGTACGACAGGTAGTGTATGAATAGACGTCGTCGTATTCAGTGTGTTGTCTGCGTTTATATGTACGTGTATATTCTGTGTACAAATTTTTATTTTTCGTGTTACAATGAACAAACGACGTGATTTGAGTGTGGAAGAAAAATTAGATGTTCTTAAAAAATATGACGAGCTCCCGAAAATGAGCCAGCGACAAGCAGCATGTAAGTTAAACTTGTCTCAAAGTTTACTAGGTAGGATGCTGAAAAGTCGACAGGAAATCGAGGGAAATGCATTAGAAAATGTGAATTCAAACCGTAAAAGAAAAAGGGCCGGTAAAGAAGAAGTTGAAGAAGCTTTGAAACAATAGTTCATAAAAGTCAGAGAAAAAGACGCCCGAGTTACAGGACCACTGTTGCGACAAAAAGCCGAAGATCTCGCGAAAAAAATGGGTAAAGATGATTTTGTAGCAACAGAAGGTTGGTTTCACCGATGGAAGAAACGTGAAAACATTTCATTCGTTAAGCCACATGGAGAACAGAGAGAAGCAGATCAAGTAGCTACACGATCGTGGATTAATTCAGAATGGCCATCTCTTATCGCCAAATATCCTCCGTCTTGTGTGTTCAATGCGGATGAAACTGGGCTTTATTTCAGGGCATTACCTGAGCACACTTATGCGTTTAAAAATGAAAAAACTAGAGGAACTAAAACTAGTAAAGAACGTCTAACCATATTATGTTGTGCAAGTATGGATGGTGAAAAAAGAAAACTGCTCGCGATTGGTAAAAGTAAAAATCCTCGGTGTTTCAAGGGTGTTAAGAATCTACCGGTAGACTATACTGCAAACAGTAATGCATGGATGACAAAAGAAATTTTCACCGAATGGCTGACCAAGTGGGACAATGAACTTCGTCATGACGTTTTATTGCTAGTTGATAATTGCACGGCTCATGTGGTTACAGTGAAATTCAAACATATTAACCTCGTATTTTTACCCTCTAACACTACATCAATCATACAACCGTGTGATCAAGGGATTATACGCACTTTTAAAGCTTATTACAGAACAGGCATGAGAAAGAATGTGATCAGTGTGATTGATGCTAACCTGGAACAAGAATTATGTACCTTACGTGCTCATGAAATCGCCAAAAAAATAACTGTACTTGAAGGTTTGCATTTAGCCTACGAAGCGTGGAATATGGTCAGTAAAATCACAATACGTAATTGTTTCCGACACGGTGGTTTCATTCTCTGTCCAAAAGAAGTTGAAGCTGCTGTCGAAAGACCCACTGACCTATCAACTGAACTTTATAATGAATGGATAAATATTGACGAAGAAGTCCAAACTACCGAACTCGTTACCGACGAAGATATATGTGGGGAAATACAGTCAAAACGGTTTAAAGAGAATATGGTTGGTGATAGCGACGAAGAGGAACCTGATGAGAAACCACCATCAACTAAAGAAATGCTAGAAGCGCTTCAAATTTTATGTAGAGGGATTCAGCAAAGAGGCGATTTTGACGTATTCGAGAAACATAAATCTTATGAAGATATGATTATGAAGTTGGCCGAAGAAGCGAAAATCCAATCAACATTAGACGTATTCTTATCAAAAAATTAATTAATTTTATTAATTATGTATGTATGTATTTTATTTTATTTTATATAGCTAGATTTTTACATTTTTTATACCTTGAATTTCAATACATATTTTTAATTTTTAATTTTTTAAATTTAAGCATTCTTAAAATTTTTTTGAGTCATTCGCCTTATTGACTCATTCGGTTAATTGACTCAAATTGTCGGGTCCCAAAGTAAGTCCAATAAGCGGCGACTACTGTATTATTATTATTATATATGATTGATTTTTTTTAAACGCAACTTAAATGTATATTAAATTTATTTTATGATTTTTACTAGACCTGGGAGAGTTTACATGTATCCGTTAGGTAGTACAGGAATAAATCCGGGAAAGTTTACCATAGGGAGAGTTTACAATCGCCCTTATCTTATAGAAATAAGTGGGGACCCAGTTACACACACTAACGATATAAACGTAATAGCTAATCAAGTAGCCACACAGCTACTCTTAAACGGTAAACCAGGGGCAAAAATTAAAAGAGAAAAACTCATTAAAACCTTAGACACTGAGCAAAATAATTTCCAGCTTGACTTTACTCATGATGAACTAAATGAAAACCTGAAGGAGATGAAAAACGGAAAGGCACCTGAGTTGGACGAAATAATGACAGAATAAATAAAAGAATTCAGCATAAAAGCTAAACAATGGTTACTAACTTTTCTAAACTCATGCCGCGATAAGGTCTTAGTACCCAAAATGTGGAGAAAGGCAAAAGTAGTGGCACTGCCAAAACCAGGCAAAGATTACAAAAACCCAAAAAATTACAGACCGATATCTTTGCTATGTCATACCTTTAAATTGTATGAACGTATGATCATGAATCGTATCAAGTGTCAAGTCGAAAGAAAACTTATTCCTGAGCAAGTTTGTTTTAGGCCAGGCAAAAACTGTACAGGATAGGTATTAAACCTGTGCCAACATATAGAGGACGGCTACGAGAATAAAAAGGTAACAGGGGTGATTTTTGTAGACCTATCCGCAGCGTACGATACGATGGATCATTATCTTCTAATTAAAAAATTATACGAATGTACAGATGACTGTCACTTTGTCCGAATAATATCTTCTATGCTACACAATCGGCGTTTTACAATCACACTAATTAACAAATGGAGCAGATGGAGAAATCAGCGAAATGGATTATCCCAAGATAGCATACTAGCATCTATGTTATTCAACATAAACACCAATGATCAACCCATCATTATAGAAACAAAACATTTCTTATATGCAGACGATTTAGCCCTAGCAGCGCAGGACATTACCTTCGAAATAGTCGAACGTAAACTTACCAGATCACTTCAAGAATTAACAAATTATTACATAAAAGACCAACTAAGACTTAATCCAGATAAGACACAGATATGCAGCTTCCATCTCCGAAACCACGAGGCAAAAATAAAACTAAAAGTTGAATGACTTGGAAAACTATTGGGAAATACAGAACACCCAGTTTACCTAGGGGTCACACTGGACAGAACTCTTACGTTCAAAGAACAGTGTAAGAAAACTAAAATGAAAGTTGAAGCAAGAAACAATCTAATACGGAAACTAGAAGGTAGTAAGTGGGGCGCAACTCCAAACACGATCCGTACTTCTGGACTAGCACATTTTACATATTCCAAAATAATGGTGATACTACTGACATTTAAATACCTTGTTAAAAAATATGTTTTGCTTCAAATTAAATGAAATAAAGTATATTTGTATGACTTGGGGTAACTTTGATATATTTTATCATAGTGGCTCGCAAACCAAGAAGGAAATTAGGTAGTAGGCAATACAAAAATTATTCAATCGAATTTTTAAATGAAGCAATAATCAAAATTGCAAATAGTAATCTTTCCATACTTGCTGCAAGCAAATTATATAATATTTCTTATGGAACTTTACATAATAAGTATAATGGGAAACACATTAAAAAACCTGGAGCTCCAACAGTATTCAGTGATAAAGATGAAATGGCTTTTTTAACAGCAGCTATGACATGTGGACAATGGGGTTTTCCACTAACATTAATGGACCTTATGTTAGTATTAAATATTAAAACCTGATATATGTGTCATATATATTTATTTATTTACTAAAACTAAATACCTATTGACTTCAATAATTAAATATTTTAACAAGTTAATTGCAAAGTCATTTTTGGATTCAAAAGGTATTGTGGTTGAAAAGTTTTCAAACAACTTGCCAGGTAGAGATTGGGCACAAAGTTTGTTAAACCGACATAATAAATTGGTATGCCAACGTGTTGCAACCAATATTGCACGTAATCGTGCAGAAGTTTCTCCAGAAATAATTTCTGAATATTTTGAAAATTTACAAAAAGTGATTGAAAATGTTCCTGCTCAAAATATATACAATTATGATGAAAGTAACTTGCAAGATAACCCAGGGAAACTCAAAATGATTTTTCAACGAGGAACAAAATATCCAGAGCGCGTTCAGAACCATTCTAAATCCGCTACGTCCATTATGGTTTGTGGCTCAGCTGCTGGAGTACTTTTGCCACCATATATTATATTCAAAGCTAGTGAATTGTGGCAATCATGGACAGAAGGTGGACCAAAAGGCCAACCATGTTGTTCAGAACCCTGCTGTTCAAAAGGATCTCGTTTTAATCGTACAGCTCATGGTTGGATCGACGGAGTAACTTTTAAAGATTGGTTCATAACAAGTTTTTTGCCTCATGCAAAACGTTAAGGAGGGTAAAAAAATATTAATAGGAGACAACCTTTCTAGCCATATACAACCTGAAATTATTTATCTATGTGAACAAAATAATATTGATTTTGTCTGTCTTCCAAAAAATTCAACCCATCTTACACAACCCCTGGATGTTGGGTTTTTTAGACCTTTAAAGCAGGCATGGAGAAATTGTTTAAATGAATGGAAAAATCAAAATACCAGATTAAAGGCTATCTCAAAATCGTCATTTCCAACACTAGTATGCAAAGCTCTAAATACTATGGACAGTTTTAATGGTGGTGGTTCGATAACAAGAGATTTGCAATCTTCTTTTAAGGCTACTGGTATTTTTCCATTAAATAAACAATGTGTATTAGAAAAGTTACCGCAGCAAGACAATTCAGAATTAATAAATGACAAGGTAACTGATTATCTGAAAAGTCAGAGGTATTTTAACTCTGATGAAAATTCCAGAAAAAAAGAAAGAAACTAACAGTAGCTCCTGGAGCAAGCATAACATCAGTCACACTTGGTTTGGTCTCATCTGATGATGAAATAGAGTTGAATCACCAACTAATGACAGTAGATGATTCGGAATCAGACCATGAAGCTAATGATGAATCAATTCCAGAATACCAAGAACCAAGTACAAAAAATCTTAAAATTGGCACATTTATTTTAGTGAAAATCAAAATTGGTAAACGTTGTGCATCGACATATATGTATCTTGCTGTCATAAACAGTATTACTGACAATATTATTAAAGTAACAGGATTAAAATCCATGGATACATCCAAGCAAACATTTAAGCTTGTGAAATGCGATGTGTTTGATGTTTCTATAAAGAACATTCAAGCAGTTTTGAAGTTTCCAGTGATAGAAGGTACTGGAGATAGTATTAAATACAAATTTTCACATTCTGTTGATGTGAGAGAAGTCTAATACAGTAAAATATTAAGTCTGACAGAAACGACAAGACTGAAGAAGTATAAAATATTTTTAAGTTTTTAATTTTGTATTGTTATAATTGTCGCCGCATTCGGCTTTAATAATACTAATATTAAGATGCCTTTACGGCAGGAAGGCAGATCACCCAAATATTCTGCACTGCCAACCATAAATATAAGAATAAAAAAAAATAAGTAAGAAAGTTTCCAACTTAATTTCAAGGTAGTCAACAGTCTTATACTCTTTGTGTTTTTTCAATATTTATTCAATTTATTTTCTTATTTTGCATTGTTAAGAGAAGTTTATATAGATCCTTCACCATAGATTTCTCATCCCCCCTAATCCCGGCTTTGGCCAAAGTATATCAGACTTCCATTTACAAGTCAGATATAAGCAAAGTCTCAGCCTGCAAATCTAACTTAGCTCTATTCCCTAACCCTCCTGCTATATTTACTATCACCTACCAGGAATCAGGCATTACATATAAAATACCTATTATAGATGAATCAATAACCACCATCCGTGCAGCCCATAATAATAAAGGTGTAGTTGGACCCCCTCGGCTCAAGGAGCGAGAAGTATATTCTGAGGTATTTACATCTGGGTCTATACCGGCAAGCTTACAATCAGCTGCTACCCCACCCTTTTTTATGGCCCAACCCTCCAGGAAAGGCTTTTAGCATCAAGGAATAAAAAGAATTTACCAAAATCCCCACTTAAATTCGGCGAAGAAAGTATCACCAACATAGTGGATTTACAACAAACAGATTCCGAATCAAAATCACCTGAAACCCCAAGAATAATTATAATTATATAATAAAGAGTTAACCAGTTCAAAAAATCGTATAAAATCAGGCTTTGGACTTAGAGCTCTGAGAGTGGTATGAGTGCAATCCTGAGTGCATTTACTATCGTTCTGAAGTGTTTTTGTATACATCAAGTCCAAATAACGGCCTTCACAACAAATATGTGTCCGTATATAAGGTTTGAACCCTGGTTGACCACCCCGTAGACAGTATATATGCCAACCACACGGCGAGCGTTGTAGTAACAGCACAAATAAATTAGTATAGTTAAACTAAACCGTACGAATTTTTTGCGGGATAAAGATAGGTTAGCCCTGATATCCTGTAGTTCGGGGGGTACTGATATAACAAATAACTATATATTTAAGTTTATTATCATAAATTTATTGTAATCGATATATAATTATGATGAATTGGTGACTGTTGTTTATTCGGTTCGCAAGCTTGTACTGATTTTATAATTTTTGATATTATATTGATGATTAATATTATCGCCTTCAGTCACACCGTGTGTTAAAATATTGCTGCAGCCTTTCTTCATAATCCTTAATTTTCCTCTTTTGACACGCCAGTGGTCTACTTTTAATAATCTTTATCGGCGTAAATTTTCCGTTCGGAAATTGTGTTGTGAATGGTAATAAGGAATCTTCTTCATATTTATATTCGTACTTATCAAATCTTCCGAACGGAAATTTTATGAAAATATCATTTCCTTCTATTCTCGTAATGTATCCGGCCAAGTAGGGGTCTCCTTTTGTGAGCACGTTCACACCCTCTCCTACCACAAACGAAGGTTCTCGCCGTTTATCATTAGGCAACATATTATGGTCTATATTTTCGACTTGCAAAAAATTGTCTTGATCATCATTTATTTGTTCTTGAATGCATAAATTATCATCATGTACCCTTCGTCGTCTCCTTGGAGGTGACACTTCTGCACAATCCTCGCATATAGGACGGATTCGTGGATTATCAATAAACGTTTCTTTTGACGTGGGATGTGATGGCCAATTATACTTGTTGAAAACGCGGTCCATATCAGCAAGTGTTTGTTCGTCTGGTGTAAAGGCCTGCCCAAGAGTAGATAGATACCATCGCTCCCGTTTCATGTTGTAAGCATCAAAGTCATTTATCGTAAATTTGAAGGGCTTTAATTGTTGTTTTCCATCATCAGTATAAATTGCCTGAAACAAAATGTATGTGGCTTAAATAATACTATTTAAAAGTTAAATATTATTAAATGTTTTTGATATATACATTTACAAGGGGATGTGTGACTCGAATCCAACTGCTAACAAAATCACTTATAACCTGTGATTTTGGAGGAAAACCGAATAATATATCAAATATATCCCGTACAGTGTTGGCGAATCCTCTGTAATGAGAACGAAGATAATTTGCAAATCAATAGAAGTCGTCTGGAGATATATTTTGAATAGATTTGCCCAAGGTTTCTGAAATAAACTGTCGCATTACATATGATACTAAATATTTGAAATGCATTTATTACAAAATTTTGTGTTAATAGTGTTTTTCGCAGTAAATAATTTTGGTATTAATGTAATGTTAAATGAAAAATGTAAATAAACAAATAATAAATAATATTAAATCTCCATAGATACAGTATATTTTATTCAGTTCGTGTCTGACTCCCGACCGAGCAACACGTGTGTAGCCTTATCGCAACCGCATTTTTATCTTCCGATAGAAGTGTTCCTGTATTGCTCTACGATAAACTGGTAATATGATTTTAATAAGCGCGTCTAGATATCTCCCTAATTAGAATCATTATCGCTACATATTTGCGTTCATTCACAATAACCACCATTATGCCTACAACATCGGGCAATTTAAAATCTAACTCAAACAAACTTACTCTTAAGGAAAAGTTATTATCGTCCAAACATCCAACACCAATATCCTCACCCAAAACCGCCTCAACCCAAGACAACCTCATTACCAATGATACCAACA